CACCAGTTATAGGAATTTAGTTGTGTTGAGAAAAACTTTGATGTTCACATTAAAAAACAAAACAAACACAAATACACCATATATTCAACTGTATAATTGAAGTTAGACATGGAATAGTAACAGAAAATGCCTGGATAGGGCAGGGGAAATAGCTCAGAGGTACAGCACCTGCCTGGCAAGCAAGAGGTCCTGTTTGATACTTGGTATGAAAGGAGAGGAGGGGAGGGGAGGGGAGCAGACAGGAGGAGGAAAAGGCCTAGATAACATAAATATTCTGACACTCCCCTCTAGCACTTTGGAGGGCGGTAAAATTTCCAAAAGGCATCAGCATAAATATGAGAATCTAAAGATAGGCACCACCCTTCTCCAAAATGGGATCAAATTGTTAACACCTGTGGGTATGTCTGCCTAATACAGTGTGTGAGGGAGACCACAAGCCCCCAAAATGACTTTGTCAAATGCAATACACCTTCATAGGAGTTGAACATGTATAGTTCTCATTGGAGCAAGCTCAGTCACTTGCAGATGTTTAGCTACTTGCAAAGTGGCACAAAGATCTGAACCTGAAGCATAAAGTAAGAATAAAAAGACCCCAAGCTTTGGATCCTGTGTTGTTAGGCTGTTGTTTGAGGCACTTTCCCATGACAAGAGAGCTGCTCTGCAGCACTAGATACTGCCAATGCAGAATGGTTCTTGGATGAAAAATCAATGTTGCTGTGCCTCGCAGATATATTAATGCTTTGAACACCTCTCCTGGAGGAAGCCAGAGCACGCCATGTGCTGTTCCTCATTAGTACCCATGCCACTCATCAATCCAACAGCCTCACTCTGAGTCAGGGAGGTGCATGAGATTCCAGGGGGAGGGGACAAAGCGAGGCCTCTGGAGGGCAGAACTGAGGGTAACCTAATGCTGTGTGGGTCTAGCAGGCAGATGCAGGTAGGACTGGTACAAAAGTGATAAAAAGGCAAGAGTAGGAGAGGACAGAGGCTAGGGAAAATGTTTCTCTGCTCTTGTACATTTTTAGCGCTCACACACTCAAACCAAAAAGCAAACCTAGAGTCAACTGCTACCCATTTCATCATTTAGTCAGCAAGTCAAAATCCTTGTCAGTTACCAAACACTTTAAAACAAAAATCTTTAAACCTCTTCTGGTTGATCAATTTGTCCCCTCAAGCCAATTTATACCACAGCAATTCCCACCACCACTGGTGAATGAGGCACTGGACAATTACCGCCTGGCCTACTGCTGACCTCCATTAACTAGGTGTTCAGGGTGCCAGACATTTCCGGTCAGTTTAGACTGGGCAAATTTGTCAGACAGAATGTTCTTCTTTCCTCAGCAACAACTGTCAGCCAGACTGTGAGGGGAACCCTCCAACTCCCTTGATGTAACTCAGTGAAAAGAGACCTTCTGACCTGCTGACACCAGAGACTTTACTCAGACCTAAGAGACAAGGCTGAAAGGCACCAAGAGCACTTCTGAGCCTCGCACCACACTTAAGGATCTGCTCTTTAGGCATTCTCACTCTATGGAAACAGTGTAAAAGGAAGGTGGTAACACATTAAAATAACCTAGTTGTCTTTCATTTCTACATAGAGTATATGCAAGGAATAGTTGCTTCGAATATATTTTGAATTAAAAACTCAAATGAATAATTTCATCAGTTGTGTTTTCAAGTTTTCTCTGATTTTCTCCTCCATTAAACTTCTTAAAACACAACATCCCATATACCCTACATATTCTTACATGGTTTCATATTATGCCAGTACATACTCTATTAAATGTCCATTCAGAAAACTGATGTTCTACACATAAAACCCATCAACACCATCAAATAAAACATGGTTGCTATGTGATTCTGTATCTTGTTCTATATCACCAGACTGATGTGGAAATATTTTTGTCTGATAAAACAGTTCAAGCTTACACTTCATGCTAGTCAAGACTTTTTTTTATTAAGCCAACACTGCCAGTCATCCTTCCTCTATGGATCTAACCAAAAATCACATGATAGTTCCATGACATGAGGCTCTCCAAGACCAAGAGAGAGCAATATATTCTGTATCCAATGAATGTCTAACTGGCCTAGGTATGAGTTATTACAATGTGACTGCTTCCTGAAGCAGGGTGTGCACACATGCACATGTATGTCTCCATGCACACATACATGAAGAGGGGAATGATGAAAATGCCAGGGAGAAAGAAGCAGAGGGCATCTCTGTACTCTCTTCCTCTGGGAAACTGAGAACTGAGCAGTATTTCTCACTTACTCTTAAATAGGAGCTGCAGGAATTTGTATAAGCTTATTCAATAATACACTGCCAGAGGCGACTGCTCAGTTGTGTCAGCATTTCTACCACTAATGCCCATGCATGGAATTCATGATTCAGAAGTGCTGAGGGCCAAAAAAAAAAAAAAAAAAAAAAAGAGTATGGAGACACCTAAGGCAAGAAATAAGTAAACAAATCAAGGAACCACTTTGCATTATAAGATAAATTTAAAAATCAACTTTAAAATATTATTGAGGGCCAGCCAAATAGCTCAGTGGATTAAAGCACCTGCAAGCAGGAGCAGGGGCCAGGGGTTTGATCCCTGGGCCTACCA